AAAATATATGAATTACACAATTCTACACACTTTTACTGTACAGACATTTATAGTTCCACAAAATTATACTGGGGGGAAAAAAACAGACGCTATGTAAGCAAAATGGTACATCACTTTCACTGACACATGAAAATAAATAAATAAATAAATACATAAATAGGATGTAAAAGTCCCCTGAACAAATCCTCATCGTGGTCTTATTTCAGATGCAGTAAACCACAGAACTATGAGGCAACTTCAGAAACTTAAAAGCGCTGACAGAGTCAAATATTTAAAAAGGAAGAGTGCGATATAGTGAGCATCAGTAAACGAGACAGGAAACGACCACAAACAGAAGTTTTACTGTAGCTCGCTGGGAGTGCAAATGGCCTGTGCCCATCTCTCGCTGCAAACCTTAGTAAGTTAACTAACTAATCAAATACATATAAGCTTTAAAGCACCGATATTATGTGAGCATCATCAGCCACAGTGATGCAAAACACCTTCAAACACACAATCTCCGTGGACACAACTTCACTAAAACGCATTTTCCGTACGACGGCACGGACCCAACAGCAGGACCTGTATGTGTGTGCAGGTAGATACAGGAGGAGCACTGCCAGCGCCTTACACGGGGACCTCCAGTGGGCAAGTTTCAGACAAACTGTCAGGAACAGACTTCATGAGAGTGGCGTGGAGGCCCGATGCGCAGCTCGACGGGATCCCTGAAGTTTAACTCGCTTTGTGTTATACTGTGATAATCAAGTGTACCTTAATTAATTTTTTAACAGCGTATATTCTGTTCAGTTTACTTGTCTTTTAAACATTACATCTTTTCTTTTTCTCTTTCCATTTCCAGTCTTCGTTGTAACTTTTTAACTCTCTTTGTAAAGCTCCCTGAAGCCTCTGATTAAAACCCAATAGTGACACCTTGTGGGAAAATACATTACTGCAGTTTTACTGTTTAATATTTTGAGCAAAAATAATTGTAGATCTCAATTTTGCTCTGTAACTACTGAACTGTGTGCATGTATCACATGTAAGTAATAACGCTGGTTTTATAACCTTCTAAATTTCCAAGTTACAGAGGCAGGCGAGTCAGTTTCACATGCATGGTCATGTTGTCATGGATAATTTGATAATATAACAAAGCTGAAGCCATTTTTGGGTCAGAAGAAAACAACTTGGAATTACCTAAACTGCTAAATTACAAAATGAAAGTCATTTCTTACCCCCGGAGAACATGTCCTTATTGACCTCGAGCAGCACGGCCACCCCGATGTTGTCTTTGGTCATCACTCTGTTCAGCATGACCTCTGAACCCTCAGAGTTAGCCATGGCTACCTGATTGAACTCCACAGTGTGTTTCTGGATCAAAGTGAACCTGTGAGAGAATCAAACAAGCAGCAGAAATGTCCACGAGGGCTTTGAAAATGCACTAGTTTCATATGAAAAGTTTTTCCTCCTTTAAATCTGCTCCTCGTCCTTCAGTTTTCCTGGCTCAGAGAGAACCAGGCTGGGCGACTACAAAGGAAAGTAAATGTAAACAGGCTGCGATGAGTCTGTGATGCAGTCTTATGTTTGTGACCATTTCTAAATAGATCACATGGAAAATCATACATCATAAAACACAGTGAGCTGTGTTGTGGCGAATCCACTTAGCCAAAATAATGGATCGGACATCAGTTGTAGAAACGATAGTCTTTATATAAGGCTTCAAAAAGGGGAATGTACAACAAATAAACTGCTTGACATCAGAGCAACATATAATGGCTTCCCGAAACTTTCTTTGCTAGCTAAAACCCAGAGTAACTTTCGTCTACCACAAAGGATTCTGGGAAACGCAGTTTTCTAATGAAAATAGCTGTTAAATGCTCCCCTTTAGCAGAAAATTAAATCTATAATTAACAGCTCTCACTAAACATGTGACTAACACTTAAATCACTTACAAAATAACCAAAATGCTGTTATCAAACAATAAACTGCAATAAAGTTACAACAAGCTGAGCTCCATCTATGGCAAAGATTACCCAAAAAATGACATATTTATAGTAATAATATAATTATAATAATAAAATAAATTTTATAGCTGAAACTGAAAAAACAAAAGCCCAAAAAACAACTTGAGCTCAGATTTTAATAAGAGGAAATTTTTTTCTTTATGTAGAAAAACTTTTCATCAAATGTGTTCACACAGTTTCAAATCATAAAGGCATGTTTTGTAACGTGTATAAAATAAAGCTCTTAAACTCACTTCTCAGTCTTGAAGAACACGGCACAGCCGTCCACATGTTTCCTCTCCTGTTCTGAAACCAGTTTGGCACGAGATTTTGGACAGAAGTAGCCGTCATAGCCGCGCTCCTTTAGTGTTTCCAGAAACAACATGTAGTACTGCTCCGTCTCCACCTCCTGCAAAAACACACAAGGTAAGAAAAGTCACGTAAAGGAGCAGATGACATATACAGGAAACGCACACAACATTAAAACACTGACAGGTGAAGTGAACACCGCTGATCGTCTCTGCTGGGAAACCTTGTAAACTGGATAAGGAAGGGCTCGAAGTCATAACCAGGGTTCTTGTACTACTTAAAGATACACATCAGTGCTTTTAAGATCTAAGTAAATACAATTACTTGTGGCCCCTCAGTCTCCGAGTAGATACAAGCTCTGAATGATCACCTTCACAACTTT